ACCGAGCCCCTGCCTAGCCCTTTTGTGCCCTTTCCCTCTTCTAGAGCTCTGTCTTCTCATGCAGGAGGTGGCAGTGAGCTGCAGGCACCAGGTCTGTGGCAGGTCTACGTGGGTGGCCTGGCACCCTCTGCTTTCAGCTTGTGGGAAGCTTCCACAGAAACCCCAAACTCTAGGGAAAGTTGCATAGAACATCCTGTGACAGTTTCTTCATCTAACATGTCTGACTCGCTCGTGTCAACTGGTGTGTAATATTCATCATAGATTAGGACCTAGTTTCTTCCAATTCCTTCTGTTGCCAAGGCCTTGCTGTTACTGCATGACTGAGCAACAGCTCCGACATGTCCATCCTTGGTGCACAGGCGGGGCCTGCCCTCGGGAGCTCTTCCTCCGTGCTTTATTACTGTTTTCACCCGGGGGCTTTTGGAAGCCCAGTTCAGGTGTGCCCAGGCCCAGGGAACCAAGTCAGGATGGACAGGCCAGTCACTGTTGGCAGTTCGGGTCTGCTGCGTGACCCTCTCTCCAGAGGCACACACCACTGATGTCCCCCATGAGAGGAGTGTCCCTGTGCTCTGACGCTCACCAGCACTTGGGAAGAGTACAGTTCCTCCTGGTTTCTCACCTGAGGTTCTAAAGTGGCATGTCCTTGTCATGTGCATTTCCCTATGTCTTTGCTGTGCTCCAGGTCCTCACCTGCTTCACCTCATTCTCTCCCTAAGTTGACTCTAGGACATGGGTGGTGTCAGCTCCATATCATAGATGTGAAGATTGAGACTCAGAGACCTTGTGGAACCTGGCCAGGCTCACACAGGGAGTGGGGGAGCAGAGCTCTCCTGTGACCCTCGCCACCTTAGGAGAGCCACACCTTCGTTGGGAGTGAGGCATGTGCTCCTCAGGGTGGGTCAGACAGCATGACTGGTGCTTGCAGAACACAGATCGCAGTGGTGTGGGCAACACTGCTCCCATTCCACAGATGAGGACATTGAGGCTCAGAGAATGGTGTGGGCTTTTCAGGTCTGTACCAAAGCTGAGGCTAACAGAACCAAGCCCAGATTCTTTCTGAGGGTGGCCTGGAAGCTTAGGAAGGGCTGTAGCTACAGAAACAAGACAGCGGGTTTCTGGGCTTGGCATCGGGCCAGTGCCTCCCTCCTACCCCCCAACCCCACCCCCAGGCACTGCTCACTTCCTCCCGCCCACACGGGAAGGGGAGGTGATAATTACTGCCTTGGACGAGTAACGCTTGTCAACAGATTTTTTAGGTCTTTTATTTTATATTCATCTATCCATGTATTTATTTATTTAAAGGCCTCTGCTGACATCCCCCGTGTCAGCGTGGTATGCAGGAAGAATGTTGTCTCGGGAAAGAGACCAGGCTAGTGCAGCATCACTGTCCCCACTGTGGGACCCAGAGGAAGCTGCTGTCTTTAACTGAGGGTGGCCATGCCCACTCTGTGGGGTCCTGAGGAAAATGGGAAAAAGTAACAACCCCTAGTTTCATACCTCATCTCTCCGAAGCCCCACAGTGACTGATGGCATTATTGTTGGTCTTGTTGTCACCAGTGGTGTCAGGTAGAACTGTGAGGACCAGCCAGGGGCCCTGCCACCCGTCCTGATGCAGCCACACGAACACACAGATTCTTAGCCTCACATGCCCAACTGGGTGTCTGCCAGAAACATACTGAAGTTCTTGTTGGCAGGATGCTCTGAGTTTGTGCCTAGCTGGTGTCCATCTGCTCACTTGCCCTCTCACCTGTCCATCTGCTTCAGCCACAGGGTCTGGCAGAGGATTGGCACCATGGGCCCCCACAGGTATGCCAGGAAAACATGGAGATGGGGCAGAACCCCACCTTCTGGTCTTCTGGATTGTGTTGTAGAATCTTCCAGCTGCTGAGTTTGCAGGCCTCTCCCCCATCAGCCAGCAGTAGGTCTTCAGACCCAGGAGGCAGGGACGTCTCACCAACTCTGGACAGAAGTGTGACTTAGAGTGGGCAGGCCTCAGGGAACAGCGTCTGGAGTCCAGGCAGGTCTTCCTGGGATGCCTCCCTAGAGTCCCACATGGCACTGCTGGGGATGTGGGGTCAGAGCTCTGCACGTGACCACCCTGAGCCGCATTGGTTGGCAAGGTGGCCTTTATTTCAGGTAAATGCTAGAGTCCTGTAACAAAGGAGAAAGCGGAAAAGGAACGTGTTGCAGTCCCTGCAGCCGCCTAGCAGGGGGATGGAGGCCAAGATTCCTGGAGTCGGTCGAAGCCGTAGGAGCCATCAGCAGCAAGTTTTGTGAGCTGATCCCAGTCCTGCCCAGCAACCTCCATCGCCAATTGCCCCCACACACGGGAGAGGCATGGCAGGTGTTCCAGATTTGATTTGGATGAGTTGATGGCAGGTGTACCCCTGCTGTCTTTCTGTGTGCCCAGTGCTAACATCTGGAGGGGCCCACTGAATTCCTTCCTCCTGGCCTGCGTGGACAACTTCTGTTGGCAGACAGTGCTATCTCCAGGCAGGGTAGAGGTCAGTGGGGTTCAATGGGAAGGGGAGAGGCAGAGAGGCTGCCACCTGTACCCCAGGCCCAGCCTGGGGCACCTACTCCCAGTCAGTTCCATGCATCATACCCCAGATCTAATGCCTAGGGTGACAACTAGCGGGCAGGGTCCTGTTCTCAGAGACTGGAATCCAGGCCACACTTCTCTGCAAGGGCCCTGGCTTGCAGAGGTGCCAACCTGGCTAGGACCCCTTTGAAGGGGGCATTTCCCACAACTGGGAGAGAAGACCTTGATTGTGTCTTTTACAGAAAGTTGGAGAGTCTGAGTCCAGGATCCATGGAGACAGAGATGGTGACAGGCGGGCACTAGGGGCCTGTGACTGAGTCTCAGGCTCTAGCATTGAGCTGGGAGACCCTCCTCCCCCGCAATCCTGAAATCCTTTCCCAGCTTGACCAGTGTACTGGGAGCTCAGATTGAGGCCTAGCCACTGTCCCTCTGCTTCATTTCCATGAAGGCCCCAAGATGTGGGACTGGCACACAGCCACCTGCTCCGAGACTCCCTTGATTCCCGTGACTCTCAGTGCCTCCTCACCAGACACATGGTGATGCTCACTGGACTAAGACCAGAGGATGGGATGAGGTGACTGGGAGAGCAATTATCTGGGCAGAGAGGGTGTTCCAGGGAACCCCGTAGCAAGGCAACCTGTGTGGCACAACCTGGTGAGGCTGAAGCGGAAGCTGGGTCGTGGGCAGGGTCAAAGTTGCCATGGGTCTGATCTTAAGGGCTGCAGGAGACAGCAGCATGATTAGATGTACTCATTTAAAAGAACCTGCTGCTGCGGAGTGAATGCCTTGCCTTGGTCCAAGTCTGGTTCTGGTTTAGGCAGTTGTGAACTCCTTAAGTGTCCTGGACAGTGAAAGGGGAATTATTAAGGCATCCCAGGGGGAGGAAGTAGCGAGCACAGGTAGCAGTGGCCAACGTGCCCCTTGGAGCAGGCTGGACACACAGTGGCATTGGTCATGGACAGTAGCTGTCCCTACTACTGTCGCTATCATCCTTGCACTTGCTGAACCTGAATGTGGTTTTAGAGCAGGAACTGGTGGGAGCCACATGGTCCAGCATGGCCCTGGGCTCTCCTCACAGTGCCCTGGTGCCCTCCTCAATAGGAGCTCATGGCTCCTCCCCAGAGGGTTGTCAGGAGAGTTAGAGGAGACACCTGGAGGGAAGGAGCTTTGATACCTGTAGGACAGGACCACAGTGTCCAGCCAGGCCACACTCCTGTCTGCTGTGCCCATTCTCTGTGCCTTTTCCCATTTCCCTTTAATTTCACACACACACATGTGTCACATGATCACACATCCATATAACCGCATGGCCACACACAGTCACACTTACAGTCATATAACCACACACATGCTGGCATAGTCACACACACCCCCTCCCGATGTGAAGACAACCCTGCAGACATGGGCAAAGCAGGTGGGGAGCAGCTATGTCCGGCTTGTTACCAGGGGGTGAGAAAGGGCTGTGCTTCTAGATTAGTGATCTTCATTGCCATGTGTTTTCAGTTAAGTAAAAAAAATGCTGACCTTCTGTAATCCCTACATTGTGGGGTGTTCCCCTAGGCCCCACAGCCCCCGCCCAGGACCTGATGCCTAGGGGCTGATGCCCACCACCTTCCCCAGCTAGACCAGTGCAAGGGAGGCCCAGATTGAGGCCCAGCCTCTGTTTCTATGCCCCGCTGCCACAGAAGGCCCAAGAAACAAACCAAGATTGTCTCATCAGAGAGCAAAGGGGTTAATTGAAGGGAAAAGCACTATTTTATTGAATTTCAGAATTTGGTGAATTAAAACAAAGAATACAAACAAATCAAGAGCCCTCTCAGTCTCTCTCCTTGAGGTCCAGTCACAGGAGTGGTGGGTTCCCTTGGGTGGTGTTTGTGCCCTGCTTGTGGCCTCACTTCTTCTCTGGCCCTGCCCTGTAGCTCTGCCCTGGATCTATCACTGGCTCCTTGATGAGACCTTCAGTGGGTCCACAGCCCCCAGAATGAGAAAGTAGAGTTCATGTGCATAGGAGTATTTTTCTGGGGGTTCAAAAGGGACTCATCCTCAAAAGCTGGGAATACAGGGTAGACTGTGTTCTCCTTAGGGTCAGGGCCATGTCCTGCACATCCATGTGTCCTTCCAGCTCAATGTCAGAGCTATTGGCAGGGAGCCTACCCATTTCTCCCTGCAGCCAAGACTGGTATGGCCAGAGGTGGGGGAGACACATGCCCAAGGGCAGGGGACCAGTGTCCACCCATCCCTGAGCCCTGCCTGCTATTCACAACAGCCCCAGGCTTTGGCCTCTTCTCCTGGCCCCACAGGGTACATGATATGGCCAAGAGCTCGGGTTGGTACCCAACTCCCAGAGGCTCTGGAGCCCACCTGTGGCCTAGCATCAGAACCATGGGAAGAAGACTTGAGTCTGGAGCATTGTAGCAACATGGATGCTTCGCTGGTAATAGTCTGTTTCTGTCATCAGCAGAGTCCCCAGGCCTCTTTTGCGGAGCTGGCTGATGATGAGAAGATTTTTAATGGGGGTGACAACATGTGGCAGGGCCAGGAGCAGGCACTGCTTCCAGACATCACTGAAGAGGACCTGGAGGCCATCCGGCTGCGTGAAGAGGCCATCCTGCAGATGGAGGTGAGGGCTGTGCAGGTGTGGGTGTGGGTGAAGGTGTGCATACTCATCCTCAGCTCTCTATGAACAGAGGCTGGGCTGGGAACCAGGGGAGCACAGAGTGCCAGCCCACCTGTGTCATCGCTCATTCTGTGGCCAGCATACTGAGGCCTGTCTCCCTAAGTGGAGGAGCTGGAGCTGGGACCCCACAACCTTGACCATGCTATCTGGTTCCTGTGGCTAAGAGACTGGAGTCTGGGGATCCCCATCCCTTCCTTCCTGGATTTTCCCAATAAGGTGTGGTGCTCTGGCCAGGATACTAGGGCCTGTACTTGGGCACCACATCTGTCACTGTGGCCATTTCCTTCACTACATGTTTAGATTTCTGGGAGACTAGAAGGTGAATTAGTGCCTCCTGCAGTTTCCATTACATATTTTTGAGTGGTTCAGTAAACTGCTCAGAGCTGAACCTGCAATTTGAGGCTGCTGCCAGCAGGTGACGAGGGTGAGCTGTGGTGGTGGTGGGGGGGGGGTCCAAACCATAGGGGTTTGGGGCCTAGATGCTGCTTGTTCTTTGTTTTTTAAAGTTTACATGTGTAAAACACCTCCTACCAAATGTATCTCTAACCCACAGATAGCCTCCTCAAGACAGCTGCTAAACTCACAATATCCCTTAGAGGCACACAAGTCTGGGAGTGTATGTGAGTGCATGTGCCAGTGAGCCTGCTCATCCTTGATGCTGATGTGAGGTTAGAGCACAACAGGCGACTAGGCAGGAACACTCGGGCTCTGCTGACACTGGAGCCTCAGCCTCTGTGTGTGACCGTGGGCACATTCTTCTCTCCTGCCGAGCCTCTCATCTGTAGGAGGAGCTAGAGCATGCCCAGTCTGAAGCTTCCAGGGGCTGGGTTTCTGGAACAAGGTTCTCTTGAGAGCAGATTTTTCTAGAAAAACAGGGGCCTGGGCAAGTTAATAAACCTAGTCACTGGCCTAGGACCCGTGACTGTCTCTGTTCTCCTAAGGAGCAGGGCTTCTACCCTGGAAGGAGGTGGGCGCCCCACAGAGCTGGGTTCAGCTCCCCCTCTCGCCCCTTCTCCTGAGACCACCCATCTCCCTGCCTCTGCTGTGCCCCGCCCCCTGGCTTTGGCCTGGAGGAGGAGTGCTCATGTCTCAAGACCTCCGTCCAGTGCTCCTGCTGCCTCTGTGAGGTGTCCTCCCCCTCCTCACCTTGACCTTGAGTTCCCTAGAGGAAGGTGCTGGCTCTGGTCCTAGCCTTGCCCTGGCGGGAGGCTGCTGCTAGGGACCTGTGTCTTTGGCTAGAAGACAAAAACGACCAAGACCACAGAGCTGGTCTTTATCTCTCTGCTGGCGCAACAAGGTTCAATTTTCCCAGAGAGGTAGAGATATGGACCCAGGAACATTGTTTTGGGAGAGACAGAGGGACCAGCTACCTCTTAGCTCCAGGACTGAAATCCTCCCTGGATGGTCTGATAACACCCAGCAGCAGTGCAAGCTCAGCCTTCCCTTGTGGGTCATAGGTAGAGTGCTAGGGGAGGAGACCCTGCTTGTTGTTTGAGTCTGGGGAGTAGTTGGTCACAGAAGCCTGTGATCCCAAAGACCCAGACTCCCTAAATGAGAGCAGGGCTTTGGGGCATGAAGAGGCAGGTTGGGGGGAGGGCCATACTCGGGAAGTGGCTGTAGCCTCCTGCCACCTCCCTGCTTCCTGGTGGCCAGCTCAAATGGAGCAATAGAATCAGTCATGGTATTCTGATGCTGAGTCTTCACTTGAGGGCCGCTTCTTCATGTCCTGAGCCTGAGAGTGCTGCTCCTAGAGCCTCGTGAGGAGGCCTGAGGGCTCCTGGCGCTTTGGAAAGCTTTCTGATAGCCATCTGTGTCCAATAAGGCCAACCGCAGGGTTCATGCCAATCCAGTGACCCCCAGGATGGGGTGTGGAAGTATGGAGACTTGGGCAGACTTCGCTTGCCAGGCCGGCCTCTACATTAAGGACTTCTCATGTGTTAAGCTGCCTGGGCTCCAGGGCATTGCTCTCGGTTCTCTAGGTAGTGACTATAGGCAGCGCAGTGGTCTTTGCCAGGGAGAAGGATCCCTCAAGTGGAGGCTACTGCAGTCATCGAGCCAAGAGACAGAGAGGCCTGGATCAGGGCTAGGTCAGGCAGGAGAGGAACCGAGGCTCAGACCTGCGTCCAGACCAGAGGACCCACATGGGTCAGGGCTTTGTCTGTGACCCTCAGAGCCTTGCAGCTTGGCATTGTGCTCGGGGTTAGGAGGCAGCCTGAGTGTACAGGACCTGCAGCCAGCCTGGCCTTCCCAGCCTCAGTGCCCTCATCTATGTTATGGGAGCAGTGCAGAAGGCATGGAGCCTTGTGCCGCCAAACAGCAAGTTTAGAGCTGAGGGTCACTGGGGTGGGGGGGAGTCATTCTTGGATGGTGTCTGCAGTGAGCACCATCTCACTGCATCATTCTCTCCTTTTGGTCTTTGGAATGGGAAAACAGAACACAAGTCGTCATTAGCCTTCAGAAAGCCCTCCCCCACGTTTTCAGCAGGTTCTGGTGACAGAAGCTCCAATGTGTTGAGCAAGTGGAGTGACGGCAGCAGAGGGCCAGGCGTCCTCAGGTCCCTCGTGGACCGATGGCTCTGGAGTTGTCTGTTCAGCCTCCAGGGCCTGTGGGGGTGGGAAGGGGCCTGTGGGTGGTGATGATGTTTTGGGAGGGGGCCTGTGGGAAACGGCCTCAGGGGGACACTATGGTGTTTCACAGCTCGGTTGGCTGCAGCCTATTTCTATGTAGAATCCAGGACACCTTGTCCCCACTTCTCCCTCTCCACGCCCACATTCCCGGGGGCTTTGGAATGTGCATGGTTGTGTACGTTCACAAGTCACCCAGAGGAGACTTGGGGTCCAAGGGAGCTACTTTGGGGTTTGTCCTCTAAGTCTTATCTTGATGGATGGTGGGAGGGTATGGACAGATTGGGAAACTGAGGTCCAGGGAGGGGACCTCAGCAGGTTAATGCCATATTCGGTTCTTGCATGCCCGTCTTCCTTCTTGCTTGGCCCCCATAAGTGCTTGTGTGTTGGCTACTATAAGTTGGTATACAGGGCTGGGTTGTGGTAGACTCCTGTCCAGTGGGACTGATGGCCCTACTCGCATCCTTTGCTTTTGTCTTCCTCCTTCTGGTAATTGTCTTATGGGACAAAACAAAGGGCCAGACTTGTGACGCAGTGTCCTGGCTTTAGGCCCATCTCCACTAACTAGCAGTGTGATCAATCCACCATTTCTCTCAGTTGTTTCATCTGTGAAATGGGCAGGGGGGATGCTCTTCCCCCAAGGCTGTGCCAGCTCAGGCAGCCCATGTGACAGTAAGCAGATGTAATGGACCCTCTGTGGGGCTGACATCCAGCAGATGGGAGTCCCTGCCCACACAGAGCTGCATTCTATTGGGACAGATAGATAACAACAGTGTGGCTAGCAGACCAGCCAGAGACTGTAAGGTGCAAGGTGGCACTCAGGAAACTAGAGCAGGTGATGGTGGTGGGGAGAGTCTCCTCTAAGACGATACTACTGAGCCCAAGTCTGAAGGACCGTGAGCCAGGAGCTGGGGCAGGGGAATTCTGGAACATCATGGAAACCATCAGAGAGGTGCTTGTGGGCTAGGTCTCAGGGGTTGAATGAAGTCATGACAGAGCCCCCGGGGCAGGGACAGCACACCTTCACTCAGAATTAAACTAGACCAGGTGGGTCCACAGAGCCAAGACGAGTGCCTAGGATCACTAAGGGAGGCCCCGGCTCCCCTGCAGTGCCAACTCTTTCCTGCCCATTCGCTCCCTGGTCCCTTCTACACAAGCCCCCCCCCCCCCCCCCCCCCCC